GGGGCCGCTTTTAAGGCCCAGATGGTCCTGCCTCCCTCCGGTGCTCGCAGCTCCAAGGCCCGGTAAGTTTGGGGCTTTTGGGGCCCTTGCAGGCCAGGTGGAGTCCTTGCCCCCCTCTGCATAGTGTTAGGAGACTGGGACATTTTAAAAGCGAGGAAAAATGGGAGGACAGAGGATAAATACAATGCAATGATTCTCTAAACACCAGTGGTGCTCTATACTTTGTGTCAACAGAACTAAGCTCAGATGTGTTTTATTGATTGATGGATTGACTGCAGTTTTTGCCACATATTCAGTAGTGTATCCAATGCTCTGAGAGAGTAGTTGGTTATGCTGCCCTGAGATCAGTTAATAGGTAGGTTATGTCCCCAAACCAATGAAATAGGGGAAGACCCAAGAGAGTGTGGAAATGATCAGATGGGAAAATCGGGAGAAAAAGGCATACTCTCAGGATAATTGCGCAATCACGCTGAAGATTTTCAGATGATGTCGTGCTTATCCAGGACTTATCCCAGGAAGAACCAGGAATGTTCCAGCAACAAACCATTCCTGGGACTTCCTGTGAATGGTTTGTTCCCAGAAATTTCCTGATCTTCATGGGAGAAGTCCTGGATAAGCACAGTGTGTCTGAAAATCTTCAGCACGATCACGTGACTTTGCCAGGAGTATGCCTTTTACTCTGGCTTCCCCCCCCCCCCAGGTCTGAAAATCTCCTGTGCCCTTCCTTATGGAATACTATCTTTTTAGATGTCTGACTGGCTCCAACATTTCTTTCTTTTCAGTACTAGTCAGGACAAGGCTTTTTATTAGAGCCTTTGGGTCCTTGTTTATCTTTAAGCATGTACATGTTTTTTTTATAAAAACTCTTTTTTATAAAAGCTTACTGTGTCCATAGAAGTTTTCCCTGGAATTTCCAGGCAGTTTTTAACAAGTGATTCCTATGTAAGTGCCGGAATGTCTCCAACCAAGTCTGATGTTCCCACAATAAAATACAAGCCAATTTCATATACTAATGCTCAGGGCATAGCATGGCGGCAGTTAAATGCCTAGCTCAGTTTGGTTTTGGACCTCTTTCAAAGGCAAACATGCAGATAGATGGCTATATGACTCACAACCTTATTCCAGGCATCAATGAGACATAACATAGCCATTTACCCATTGTTCTTTATATCTGTCCCTCTGCACATAACAGCACATTGTACAAATTTAAAATGTATGCTCCACATCCTTCAATAGGCTTTAAAACACATACATGCATACAGGGAATGAAAGGCCTGTGTAGTTTCTTTTAAGCTTTTAGATTGTAAAATGCAATGCATGCCAACTGAGCAGCGATTAAACTTTACGGCTGTTCACACTACAATATAAACCAGTTTAAAAGTGGATAGTTCACATTGGTGCCAGGGTGAATAGGGATGGACCTGGGGCAAATTCTCCTCATCATGGGTTTTCCAATACCGAGTTTCCCTCCGTGTCTTTTGGGAAAAACTGTGTTTTATCAGGGTGCCACCAATGTGAACTTGCCCCTGATCCCATTCGAGTGGCAAGCATCATTTTTGTGCTTGTGCTTAGTTGCTGCTCTGAATTGGTTTTCATGGCAAGGGGTCCTCTGAGAGGCATGTCCTCTCCATCCTTTGAGGCTAGTGGGGGGATCCCACTAAAAAATTATTGGGGTTTAATAATTTTTTAAGGGGGGGAGGGTGGAGGTAATTG